AGCCCTTTATTCAGTAAATGAGCCTGTCAGGAGTTTGATGAAAATATTTCCTAAATTGCACTGGTGAGACCTACAGGTGCAGACCCATGGTGGGAGTGCTGGGAAACAACGTTTCCACAGTTCAAGTTCCTATACATTCTCGAAATGCCTTGGAACATCCAAGGCCTCCTTTCCTTTAACAAGTGACAGGGGAATTGAAGCTACACCTATTATTACCTTAGTTGATTTTGCTTCAAATGTCTATCAGAATGAACCACCATAGACCAGTAGCAAAGTCCTCATCATAAAAGACTAAACATCCTGGAGCTTTAGAAATGCTCTTGCTCATAAACCAAGGCTGGGGTTCAAATCCATCAACACTTAAAAAAAAAAATAAAAAAAAATCCTGGCCGTAGCCTGTTTGGCTCAGGGGATAGAGCGTTGGCCTGTGGACTAAAGGGTTTCAGGTTTGATTCTGGCCAAGGGCATGTGCCTGGATTTTGGGCTCGATCCCCTCCAGTAGGGGGCATGCAGGAGGCAGCCCATCAATGATCCTTTCATCATTGATGTTTCTCTCTCCCTTCCTCTCTGAGAAAAAAAAAAAAAAATCCTGCCCTAGCAGGTTTGGCTCAGTGGATAGAGCGTCAGCCTGTGGATTGAAGGATCCTGGGTTCGATTCCAGTCAAGGGCACATGCCTGGGTTTCGGGCTCCATCCCCAGTAGGGGGCGTGCAGGAGGCAGCCGATGAATGATTCTCTCTCATCATTTATGTTTTTATCTCTTTTCCCCACTCCCTTCCTCTCTGAAATCAATACAAATATATTTTTAAAAAATCCTCCCACTTTTTTTTTTGGCCCAGCTGGCGTGGCTAACAGATCAAGATGCTATTTTTAGGGTAACAGGAAATAAAATCCAGGAATCAAATTTGATCACATGGCTGGTACCTGGCTTGGGGGGAGGGGAGGAGAACATGCTGGAAAACAGGCCATCCTAGGGATATTGAAAAGTTATCTTCAAAAAAAAATAAAGAGGAAAAAGAGTTATCTTTTCTCCACCAAACATTTTGATTTTGGAAAACAGATTTACAAGGATTATGTGGCTCTTCCATCTGTATCCATCCTTACCCAATTCTCTTACCTATCACACAGGTTTTGACTTAACAGAGGCTGTACCTTGAAGTAGGAGTTAAGAGGAAAAAGTAGGCACCATCTGTCCCACCCTGCATTAATGCACCTACATACTTTCATAAAAACAATCTAATACTTACTGATACTCAGCCACACAGTCCAGCAGACCTACATACTTTAAGGTCTCATGTTGCACAGCACTTTCAAGAGCTTGAACTCCACTGACATCTTTCAGAATATGCTGGATGCTTTCGATGTAGCCAGATTCCAGATTTTCATCTCCCTCTTTTAAGTTCCCCTGAGGTGAAAGTATGCTTTCCAAGGCTTCATGGAACTGTTTCCCTTGTAAAAATAAGTCTAAAAAAAAAAAAAAATCAAGGGAAAAGAAAAAACAAAACAAAAAACAGATCAAACTAGTACTAAAAAACAAATACTCTAAAAAACTCTGAATTAAATTAAAAATTACACAAGATTAACTTTTCTTTAAAACACATGTAACTACTTGTTTAACATGTGTGCACACTTTTTTTCTAAGATGCTTCAAAATAACTGCATTACTCTTAAAAAAGTGCTTGTGTACCACCACTTGGGGTAGATATACTGCTCTCTGGGAAGCATAGTTTAAGGCAGAGGTTGGCAACCGGTGGTCTGCGGACCACTGGTGGTCAGTGAGGTCTGAAAGGTTGGCAACCACTGGTCTAAGGAATGATCAATGTAAAATTTAGCTTTAAGAAAAGACAACTACACAGTCTTGATGATTCACCTGTGCAATGGTCTTTCTTTTTATCTTGCTTTTGAATGGAATCTGTTTAAAGGAAGTTAGTCTCTTCACTTGTCTAGTAACTTAGGAGTTGAAGGCTAAACTTTATTTATTCTCAGTTCCTAATCAAGAGCATCTGATTATCTCAATTTACCAAGATCTAAATACAGATGACGTGTTCTGGCTTATTGTTTTAATTCCATTAGTCTGGCTTGTCAGTCTACGTTGATAAGTAGAACAAGGGTTATGTACTAGATTCTGAACAGAATGCCTAGCAAACAACTATAATTCCATTATCAGGTGATTGACTCTTTTCCATAATCAAAGAAAACAGGCAATTCTAATACTTAAGTTTGTAGCTTATAAAATAAATAAATTTTACACATCATTTAGTCAAAATACTTGATCTCTACGCTTGTTTCTTTTGTGAAATGGGGACAATAGTATCTATGCTTTATAGAGTTGTCATGAGGATTAAGTGAGTTAAACACTCAGTGCTATTTAAAGCTAGTTATTATCTGAAAGTAATTCCTCGCTAAAGTTTAAAAAAAGAACTTAAAAGACTGACACTAGTGCTGTATATTCTACAAAACACAGTAACAATATAGAACCAGGATTAAGAAAATTACTTGAAGTATATTCTGCAAAGCCATCCTCTCCCAGTTCCAGAATCATCCGCTGCTTCCATCTCTCCAAATAGAAAATCTGTTCTGATGTCATGGTCTGCTGAAGGACTTTGGTCACACTTGGTATCTTATTCCTTTGCAAAGGGATTTTCAAAGGGGCTGTCGCAGCACTTGTTGCATTTGGTTTGCAGCTTCTCTCTGGATTGAAGAGAGGAAACCAGTTTCCTGGAACCCTTGCTTCCTCATCTTGCTTTGGGGGTTTACACTTACTCACAGGTCCATAGAGTAAAGAATCTTCCTCGAACAACGATTCTGGAGTCTGAGCAGGGCCTCTGAATGACAAGACAGACTGTACTAAATCAGAGTACTTTTCTTGGTTCACCTCTTCATAAGGGTTCACTTTTTTCTTCCGGCCACATGAATAAGAGGACGTGGAGAAACCCAGATGTGGGGATAGTTCTACAGAAAATCGCTTTGAACTTTTAAGCTGCCTGCAGATGGTCTGAAATGCCTTCATCTTTAGACTTTTCACTTCCCTCTAGTCTCCTTGCAATGCAGAGGGTCTTTTTAGTTTTTGCATTCCTAATAAAGAGAAAAGTGGTGTTAGGTGCCAAATGTGTTAAATTATTTTAACTATCAATGGGAAAGCTGCATCAGTATGATATTGCACATTTAAAGCCTATTCAAGAAGCTTTTGCAACATGCTCGGACACAGCTATTTCCAAAGAAAGGCCCTGGTCAATACCAGAAGGACCAGCACCTACTAAATTCGAAATAGCAGCTTGGGCAACACGTCCCCCGATATTCTCTCTGAAGAAATGTGATGCCAGGAACAGAAGGAGGAGTGTGAGACTAGAGGAAAAAACAACTCTAGAATCCATCCTGTAATAGCCAGGAGTCACAGTTAACAATTAACCACGGATCCTTAAATACCAGGTTGTTTGCTAAGTATTCTGTGTGGAGATTTCTCATTCAACCCTCACACCCTGTACTTAACCGTTTTACAGATGTGGACATCAAGCTCCTGAAGGACATGTCAGGTCCCAGCTGGCAAGCAGGGCAGTCAGCAGGGAGCACCACTGTGACCCCCATAAGTCAGCCCCAGGCACCTACAGTAAGGGATAGTTGATTGTAGGTTCCTCGCCCCCAGGGTGACTTTCCTTCCCCTAGCAAAAAGCTGGTGGAGCGTTTTGACCCTCTGACCTTTCCTCCCTAGAGATAACATCTGTGCCTCAATTGTATTTCAGCTCCAGGTCCAGAAAAGCAGCAAAACCAGGCCAGCGACCTCTCTGCCCCTCCTTGTCCTCAGGACCAGCTGCATTGCAGAATGACCCCCGCCCTGAGACTGGCCAATCGACCAGTGAAGACCACAACCCTGAAAGGACACACCTAGAAAACTGATGAATATCTATTGAGATCTTCCCTTAAAATCTCCACCTTAAAACCATGAGCAGACTTGGCTCAGTGGATGGAGCATTGGCCTGCGGACTGAAGGGTCCCAGGTTCGATTCCGGTCAAGAGCATATACCTTGGTTGCAGGCTCATCCCCAGTAGGGGGTGTGCAGGAGGCAGCTGATCGATGTTTCTAACTCTCTATCCCTCTCTGTAAAAAATCAATAAAGTATTTTAAAAAATAACAAAAAACCAGGAGCAGGAGGACCCAGTGTGCTCTCCCTCCCAGAAACGCCCCCCCCCTCCCCCCCGCACCTTGCCATTAGTTCCCTCACTCCCAAGGGTCCTTCCTTTTTATTTTTTTGTTTTGTTAATCCTCACCCGAGGATATTTTCCCACTGATTTTTAGGGCGAGTGGAAGAGGGAGGGAAAGACCATGTGAGATTGGTTGCCTCCTGCCTGAGCCCCAGTCAGAGCTCCGTGGGGGAGGAGCCTGCAATGAGGTACTGCCCTTGACGGGAATCGAACCGGTCGACCGCAGGCCAAAGCTATCCACTGAGCAAAACCCGCTAGGGCCAAAGGCCCTTCCTTTACCTCCACAACAAATTCCCTAGAGACCATCTCTTCTACCAAGTACTCTTCTGACCGCTGTGATTTACCAAGTAAAAATCCTCTTACAGTTTGGGTCTTGGCTCCGAATTCTTTCTAGCCAGAATCCAAGTACCCAGGTTGCTGAAGGAGGGTCGGCATGACCCCATGGGTCAGACTCCTGGTACCATTACAGCCGTCAACAACAGAACCATGTTGGCGGTCAGAATGCAAGGGCCCTTACGGTGAGAGTCAGGACTAGGGAGGAGACGGCTTAAGGAGAAGCCTAGCCCGGGGCAGGGGTAGGTACCTCAGCAGCCACCACCCCGCGCTTAACTCCCGCGTAGCTAACAACCTCTTCGGGCGCGTAAGCTCAGCGTTCCCGCGCTTTGGTCTCGAATTAGGCTTCCGCCCAGGCAAGGCGGTCCCAGCATGCACTGCGCTCCGCGGCGCGCACGCCCCGCCCCTAGCCCTTGGTTCACCTCCGTAGACACTCACGCGATCCTCGGAGAGTCCCGCCCCGCCGGCAGATGCGCGGGCGCCTGCAAATCGCGCCCTTCCGCTCTCACGAGATCTCGCTGACGTCACAGCTCGTGGCCATCTTGGACCCTGGCTAGGTAATAAATTTCGCCGCGCGACAGCACGCTCTTCCTTGAGACGCGCCTGGCGGGGAGTGTTTCTGCCTTCGCGTCCCTCTCGCTACCCTGTGGTCTGCGGCTCCCGCGTGGCCCGGAGCGAGGGTAGGCCCCGCGTAGCTTCTTTGCCCGGCTCCAAGATGGACGGGGGAGGCAGCTGTGGGGGAGCACGTGGCGTGCCGCTCGCCTTTCCTGGGGCTTCTGGGATGGTGGCGGAGTCCCGTGGCCTCCTGCCGCCGTGGGGCAGGGAGGCTAGCGGAGGCGGGGCCGCGGCCGCCCCTCTAGGCGCCCCGGCGGCGGCGGCCCAGCCTCTTCTTTCCTCGCACAGCCCGGCAGCCCGCGCTCGAGACCCGCGTCGCCATGGCCGCGGTTCCCGAGGTGCTGCAGCAGCAGGACGAGGACCGAAGCAAGGTGAGGCCTTACACTTGCAGGCGCCCGGCGGGAGGCCCGCCGGCCTCGCGGGGCCCCAGATTTCTTCCCTCGTCGCAAGGGGGCTTTGGGGCCGCTCGCGTGCCCACGCGGGACGCACCTGCCGGGCCCCGAGCGCCCTTTGTTCTTCCTGAGGCTGAGAACAGACGCGGCACCGTGTCCAGCGGCCCGGTGTCGGGGCCGAGCGGGCGCGGCGAGCCTCTGGAGCCCCGAGAATGGGTTTTTACGTAAAAAAGTTTTTTAAAACTGAACTTGGCTTCACGAAGACTGGACGGGGGACTTGAAATCCACTTAATATGCAACTAAATGCTTCCAAACTGCTCCCCCCCCTCCAGCTTGGTAAAACTCTTTTTTTTTGGCCTAAAATTTAGGCCCTAAATACTGAGGAAATTTCATCAAGTCAGAAATCTGAAGCCTGTATCTTACAACTTTATAAACGCTAAAGGCGTCGCTGCGGGAGTTGTGTGATTGTTCGTAGGTGCTCTAATAGTTGTTGAACTCGGCTTTTATTTTTAAAATGTGGGTGTTTATGTAAATTACCCCCATGCCACTTAAAGCTTGAGGTCTGGTAGGTAACGTGCAGTAAAATTAGTTTGCCGTAGCCAATTAAAGATTTAGAAACAAGCCTCTGCTCTTTTTATTGATCCTTTACATTTGAATTAGTGTCGCACAATTCGTATAAGTTGGTAATGAACCACAGTGTTATGTGCAGAATCGTTAACACAAGTTTTTCTGACAGAAAGGGGGGAAACTTTAAAGATACAAAGCATTCTTGGATTTAACCCGGAAGACGTCTTAAAATGTCCCGTCTATGTTAGCCGTCTTTGGGGAGAGACTATCATCCAGTCTACGTCCCACATTGTTCCAACGAGGGCCTCATGCTGTGTTAGTTACTCAAGTGCAACTTGGTGATGGGGGTAGTCAAGTCTTCCTGGGAGTATTTTTACTTGAAAGTTGAAAGAAGGAACTTGTTCTTTTTACTAAAACTGAAAGTGGGAACTTGAGACTACGATTCTTACCAGAACATTCCAAAGGTAGATTTCTTCCTACAAGTTTAGATGCTGAATAGGAATTTTGATAGCAATTTGATACACACACACACACACACACACACACACACACTTCTTCGTTGACCCACAGTGTTTGAGAGTCTAAAACATTAGCTGTTTAAAAGTGCTCGACTGCTTCAGCGGGCCTTCCTGTTTGTTAGTATGGTATATGGTAGCTGGAATTTAAAGTGCCCATCATTCTAACCCTCCAGCAAAATTGGAGGATTATGAAGGCTATTTCCTGCCCCCCCCCCCCTTGTAGTGGCTACAGGAAAAGGATTTATGTAGAATCATTTTCCTTCTATTTTTTTTTAAATGAAATAAGGAAATAATAAAACTTACTAAAATATAGCCCTAACACGTGGCTTCATTTTGCTTCCTGATCTAATTTTCGTCCTGTGCTGTGTATCTTTAGATGGTTTTTACTGTTAACTTAAAGGACGATTTTTATAGAGGAAGGGAGAGAAACCTGATCAGCTGCCTCCTGCATGCCCCCTATGGTGAATGGAACCACCGACCTTTTGGTCCATGGGAGACTGCTCAACCCACAGCCAGGGCCGGGGCAAGCCTCATAGATATGCCCTGACTGGGAATCGAATTATGACCTGGTTCAACTCGGTTCTCTACTGATGGAAAAGATTGTATTTTGATCTTTAAATTTGGAAAAATGGGATTTTTACCAAGTGTCATCCCTGAAAAAGTTAAGGCATTAACACCAGTGGCTCCATCGTTATAGTTACCTAGTACTGTGCCACTGTCCATGGGACGTTCTCGGGTGTCTGGAGTTTTTAATGGGTAGGGGGGAAATGAGATCACGCAGAACCTCGTTCCCATAAAATAAGTTACCCTGGTCTCTAGTCATTTTGCACCTTACAGGTTCTCCAGGCCTTCTGTTTGCCAAAAAGCCACTTAAATAGTTGGCATCATGGTTAGGTTCCCACTCCCAGATTCAGTTTGTATCCATCTGTGGTGATGAATCTCAATATTCCAGCAAACCCACCGCAAAGAGTATGGGTCCTGATTGCCTACCAAGACTTTTTTTTAAAATGATTCTTAAATTGCTAATAGACTGAAGTAAGTTTAGCAAGTAGGAAAAGTTTTGCAAGGACTAGATGGTAGCCCTTCCCAGCCTGGTGGATGATGTCACCTCGGAGCCACATTAATGTTTATGCTGCTGCTCTGGTTTGCAGTTTTTTTAACTTGTGTGGAAATTGTCTCTAGGGACACTTGACTCCCAGCTTGAGTGGAAAAATGTCCTAAAGTTTGTTAGTGTAGGAACAGTACTAAACTTTGACAACTACTATGACAATTTCAAAATTATTAATTTTTGTGGAGTTTCTTAATTTAATGGCTTGACTTCGTTTTTCTTTTTTAAACTCTGGAAGTGTAGGACTTATCAGAACTGCCCACATCTTAGTTCTGGATCAGTAACTTGTACACAGTGTCTTAAGATGCCCATAATCTCACATTTTTGGGGCTGTAGGAAGAAATGGCCAAGGGAGACTATTACAGAATTTTCTAGGTCCTGAGATCTAAATTCTCATTTGGTGTGAGACCTGGTAAATAACCAACATCTGATGTAGAGCTTGAGTTTAAACCAGGGTTTTACAGCCTGAGCATTACTGACATTTTTGGCTTGATAATCTTCTGTGGTGGGGAATTGTCTTGTGCATTGTAGGGGTTTAGCAGTATACCAGGCTTCTGGGTGACAGGAGCTCCCTTTCCTCCAGTAGTGATAGTCAAAAATATATGCAGCCATTGTTAAATGTTCCTTGGGTGGGAATCACTGGTTTAAACTTTCCTTTCAAAAATGATGTGTATGAGTGGGTGAAGGTTGTGTTACAGAGGCTGATCTTCAGTGTGCCAGTTTTTACATTTTTTGCAAATCTATGATTGATAAATTATAAGAAAATACATGCTGTATCGTTGACTTTGGGGGAATTAGCTCTCCCCACCCCAATATTGAGGAACCTCATCAAAAGATGGTAAAAGGGTTTCTTCAGTGGGTTCGGGGGGCAATTTAGGATTGCAGAGAGGCAGCTGTGTGTTCACTCTGTTGAAATGTAGTGCCTGCTTTGTATTGTGGAAACCTGAAGCTCTGATGTTACAGCACTCAAAACGTTGTGGACTAGAATTGAAGTTCACTAGCAGAGTAGAACTTAGTTTAAAATCTTTTTTTTTTAAATATATTTTATTGATTTCTTACAGAAAGGAAGGGAGAGGGATAGAGAGTTAGAAACATCGATGAGAGAGAAACATCGATCAGCTGCCTCCTGCACACTCCCCACTGGGGATGTGCCCGCAACCAAGGTACATGCCCTTGACAGGAATCGAACCTGGGACCCTTGAGTCCGCAGGCCAACGCTCTATCCACTGAGCCAAACCGGTCAGGGCTAGTTTAAAATCTTAAAAACATTTTGCTCTATTTATTGTCAGGGCCTGGTTGTTGGAGGAGATAAGGCAAAAATATTTCTGTAGCTTAGTACCCTTGAGATAGCCATAGCCATTGATGAAAGGGCATGAGTGAAGTGAGGTGATAGGGAAACAACCCTTTAATGAACCCAATTTGAGGACAGTTTTAAGTTCTGCCTTTTAGAAGCAGTGAAGGAAGATGGCTGTGGAGGACATCTTGTCTCATGCATGTGGCAAACTTTACAAGTATAAATGGAAAGTTTCTCTGCCTGATCTCGCTTTCTAAAAAGCCTCACCTCCGACATCGGTTTATTTTCTGATTGGCCACTGAGTTAACTCTTAGGAGATAGCCCTTCTAAAAGAGGGACATGAAATTCATCAACTGTTTCATAACCAGAAGGCAAAAGCCAAGAGGGAGGAGAGTGTAAGTGCAGTTAGAGGCACAGAGGAAGGACTGCACTTCCTCAGTTCAGATACGGGATTGTTGGCTTGACTCTCCCCTCCTTCCTTCCCTTTTACAAATTTGGTGTAACTTTTTCAGGCACTGCTATGTGGTCTGGAGAGAAAAGTGTAATGTTCTCAGAATAGCTGCTTGTGGTATGCATTTTCTGCTTGAAGAGTATAGTTTACTTGTTTTTGAGGGGCAGGCCTCTAACCATTCTAGTCACTGTTAATGGTGAGTACAAATGCAGAAGCCAACTTCTTGGGCTTTCACTTTATATTTCTTTTTAAAAAAAATATATTTTTATTGATTTTTTACAGAGAGGAAGGGAGAGGGATAGAGAGAGAAACATTGATCAGCTGCCTCCTGCACACCTCCCCACTGGGGATGTGCCTGCAACCAAGGTACATGCCCTTGACCGGAACCGAGCCTGGGACCCTTGAGTCCGCAGGCCAACGCTCTATCCGCTGAGCCAAACCGGTTAGGGCTCACTTTATATTGAAGAGCAGTACAAAGCTACTGGTGAGTGATGAAATTAGGGTAATGGAATATTTACATCTAAATGACTTGGGGAAATATGTGGTACCTTTGACTCAAAGCAGAGAGAATCTCATCAGGAAGCAGGCAGCCTTCTCTTTTCTCCATGCTGCCATTTGTGTCTCAAACTTATATAAGCGTAAGCTCAGATAGCTCTCTTGTGTTGCTGAATAATCTGGTGGTGGTGAAGGTAAATTTGTGTATTAAACCTATTTCTATTCATCTTGGTTTGATCATAAAGGTCAGGCAATGAATGTTCTTAAATATCCTCATCGACATGTGTACTAGTAGTATGTAACATGTCAGGGTTGTAGCAGAGGGCTGTGGACTTGATATATCAAGGAACTTTGGGGAGGGAGCCTTGATAGAATTGGGTAGTAGTAAAGGGCTTTAGCTTTCAATGGAAGAAAATTAATTTTTTATTTGTTCAGCTGCTTCCTCCGTAGCACCGCTGTGTTGATTCCAAGTAGAATTTCTGTGCTAGGAGTTCCTTAGATCATACAGTGTAACCCTTTCATTTTTGTGAGCTCATTTGAAAATAATCCAGGTATCTAGTAATTAGTTAGATTTCTTGTAATGAATGTTAGTTAAGCCAATAATTCAACTTAATCTTTCTGGTTCCATGTTGGGATTTGACTAGTTCATGGGCTTTGCAGCCTTGTGAAATGATGATTGAGTTTATCCATTCGCTGAGTACGCTGCACTGACCTTCTTCCAAGCCTTGGTTCCTGTTCTAGGAACTCAGGGTTCAGTAGCCTCCAAATGCCCTGCAGTCTGTGGTGTTCTACCATGGACAGCTTGTGTGTTGGTGGACTACCTGTAAGAATGGTTGGTGTCAGCAGGGATGGGTCCCTCTTGGGCTCATCTCACCAAGATGAGTGGTGGAAATCTGATCACTTGCTGTGGCCCTTTATCTAGTTTTTTTTTTTTTTTTTTAAAGCTTATGGCTAACTTCCATAACTTTTATCTATATTAGTATACTGAGATCTAGAAGACTGGTTCTGTTATGATTGATACTGGTAGACCAAAGTTATATGAAGAAGGGAAGAATCTATTGTAGATTGGGGAGAGGGGCAGGAAATGAGAAACAAATAGGTTTAAAAGCAGAGCTCATTGCTTATAGTCAGTTCAGTTGTTTTCATGCACCAGTGCTATAAGGAAAAGCTGGGATAGAACAGATAAGCAGGTTTTGGAAGAAAATGGTAACAAAAAATTTGAGTACCAGTACTTGGAACCATAAAGGAGGGATTTGGAGAAGGATATGGCATTAGAATTTCTTATGGAGCACTTCTTTCCTGTGAGTTGAAACAGTAACAAAGTAATATATATATCTGCTGAATGTATCTTCTCTGTTCTCCCTTGTAGTTTCTGAATTTCAGAATCTAGCCTTCCATGTCCAATCACATAGCTGCCCTTTGCCATCTGTGAACCATTAAATCTTTTGAAGAGTGAGCTTTGTAGATGGTGGTAAGCCTTGCACCAAAGTGAGTCAAAGTGAGATTTGGATCACAAGTGGTCTTTAGCTCAAAAGTCTGCAAAGTTGTCCTGCAGCCAGTAGTATCATGTTCCCCAGCTGGGTTGGCTGATGAATGGGTGAGGAAGTGCATAGGGATTCTGTATCAGGTTTTCTCCTTTTCAGGCTCTTACCAAGTATTTAGAGTTTTTAAAACAGTTAAAATTTTGCTTTCTAAATAAAGCAGTGCTGTTTATCTTGCCCTCCCCTTCCGCCCCCCCCCTTTTTTTCTTGTCACAAGATCATTGTAATCCTTACTATAAGGATTAATCGGGAAGGAAAGTACATTGGGGGCTGAAACTCCATCTAAAACTTTTGGGTATATCATGCACTGGTTTCTATAGAAATATACAAAAGAAAGTCAGTTTTAAAACTTACATTTTGTTGTTTGAGGATAGGTGTTTAAATTTGATTCTCAAGTGACCTAAGGGAACTGGGAAATTGAAAAAGTAACATGACTTGGTTCTGAAGCCTGCTTTTCTCCACTGATTTAAACAGCCATTCTTGGCATTTTGACATCAGTAGCCCAACTTGGTATTGGCCACCAGTGCTAAGCAGTACTCTGGATGCTTATTTAGGGTAGGGGATAGAGCTGGGTGAATGGGGTACAACCCAGTTCTTATACTCTACATCCTGCTGATTTATTTAGCAAGTACTGTGGCGGAAGGCTGTGGGGTTTGGGTTTTGTTGACTAAGCAGGAGAAAGAATGCTGAACTTTTAATCATACTTGATGCTTCCGGAGTAAGGATTCTGTGCTGACTTAGAAGTTTTAAGCATTTCACAACTTTTTGTTGATTTATTTGCTTCATTTTCTGGAGGGTTATATGCTCACTGTAGGTTATGTGTGTCTTCATTGCATTCATACCAAAAACCATATTCCTATGGTAACAAGAAAGGAAGATAGTAATATAGTAAATAATCTAGGCTATTAATTATATGGTTAGAGTTGTGGGAAAAGAGATGAAACCAGAAGATAATTGTTTGGTGGGATAAAAGCAGCTGGTAAAGTTCATTTTAGCTTTGACTGATGCTTAAATAAACTATTTCTCTATTACATTCACCTTGGTCCTTCAGTACCTAATTCTAAAGCTAGTCCATGTGGAGATCACGGGCTCATTAAGTTTGTTTGTCTTATAGTGAGCTAAAATGGAATTGTCAGCCTGTTTAGAAATTGAGAGATGGCTAGAAACCAGGATTTGAGACTTCTTTAGGAAATGGAATCTCAGGAAGCATCACAGTTGTTGCTGAGCTCAGGGAAATGTACCTTAAACCTGCCCCGTCTTTCTACCAAGGTCTGTTGGCCCTTTTACACCTGCCCACTTTGTTCCTATTCTGATTGACAGATACAAACATAAAATAGTATTCTCTGCAGTCAAATTTTAGTGTATATTTTGAGGTCTTTTGAATTTTGTATTTGCCCAGGGGTAAGTTATCGGAAGGAAGGAAGCTTTTATCAGAAATATGTCAGGAAAGTCACAGTTAAGACAAAATGAAGTACCCCTGACCTTGAGTCTTATCTTTGTTTGTAGAGATCTCATAAATGGACATAGGAAAATTAAGTCAAAATAAGCAAGTATTTCATAGGAGTCATCAGGAATTAATTTGGGAGAAGTATTTAGGTTGAAATGTCAGGGACTTAAACATATTGTGATCTTACTAATATAATATACCTCATGTTAAAATCAAGTTCTGGCAGAACTTGAAGCTTGTTTCTTATTAGAAAGCCATTGTTACAGGACTAACTCTGGTTTTTGCAATTTAAATTTTTTCTTAGTGCTTAAGGGAAAATGGGAGGTAACTGACAATTTCTAAGATGTAGAAATAGAAGTTATGCATTTTTTTAGTGGATATATTTAGTCTTTTTATACGTGATTGAACCCGTTTTTCTGGTTTCAAAAGTTAAGTTTATCAGTCTTAGGTCTTGAACTTTTTATTTTGAAGAAAAGAATTCAAAATGAAATTTAGGGGGAAATATCTCAATATTCCTTGTTCCCTCATTCTCTTAACTCCAGTCTTCACTTGGCATTCTTCCTGTGTGCAATAATCGAGCGTTATGACATCTTTACTTTAGCTCTGGGGGGTGGAGGCGGGAAGACATGAGATGCTTATTTCATGCAGTTTAATGCCTTGTTTGTGTCAGACCTTCACATTGACCTTTACTCAGCTTGTCTGCTTTAAGAATTAGGGAATTTATCATACTTTAAATTCAGTACAAACACCATTTTAACCACTTTTTTTTCTTAACAGTCCATTTCTTCCAAATTTTTTTTTAAACGGACAGACATGGAGTTGGGTGTTATTTTCCTCTGAATTCCTCTCACAAAATCTGTTGCTCTTGCTTCCAGGGCAGTGCTCACACTTGTCCCCTATGTGTAGCTAACGATGAGATTCTGCTAAGTAGGGCCTTTGTTAGTTTTTCAGTTCATTTCTCGGTGTCTAGATGAAACAATCCCTGGTAAATAGCTCTACTCTTGAGCCAGGTTTTTCTTATCTTTTTGACCTAGGATCCCATACCACATAACTGTTCTGTTTTACTAGTCTCGTCTTTCATATGAATGATCTGGTTAATGCCACTTGAGTATTCCTTGTAGTTTAGGCATTTATGTGAGAAGTTCACGATTTCATCCTGTCTAGTTCAAGCCTTCTTAATAATGGTTCTCTAGGTGTTTGATTAAAGAAATTTTTCATGCTGATATAAAATGAGTAATGCACATGATATTAAAATTATAGTTGCTTTTTCAGATCACAGGAATACTTTGTACCCATCCATATATTTAAGATTTCCCTACAGTGTCAGATAAACTTAGATTTATCTCAGCTGACTTTGTTCTAAATGATCTCGTACAGGCTGCTTTTTAATTACTAGCTCCCATTTTTGGAAGGATACTTTTTAGGACTAAGATGAATTTGAAACTAATGACCAAAAAATGTATTTCAGCTGAGATCTGTATCTGTGGACTTGAATGTTGATCCCTCGCTTCAGATTGACATACCTGATGCACTCAGTGAAAGAGATAAGGTCAAGTTTACAGTACACACCAAGGTAAGTGGTGGAATGGCTTCAATAATACAAACAGTGCTAGTTTGCAGCCTTGTTTTTTACAGTGGCTGTGAGAAGAGACTTCCTGAACTGAAATGGTTGCCATTTGTTTGCAATGTAGCACCACTGCTAAGTGAGCACCTCCCTCATCTTGTAGTGAGCCTCTAAATAAGTGTAATTGCTGCAGTATTTTCCACTATGGTGGAACCCTAGGGCATTGCTGATGTTAAATGTGGCTTGTACGCTGCTCTATGAGGAAGGTAAATCAAGCAAAGTGAAGTAGGCTGAACCATCTTCCTACACAGCTGAAGTCTTCCACCTTTGTTTTTTGTTTTTTAATTTGATTTTTTATTGATTTCAGAGAGGAAGGAAGAGGGAGAGAGATAGAAACATCAATGAGTGAGAATCATTGATTGGCTGCCTCCTGCACACCCCCTACTGGGGATTGAGCCAGCAACCCGGGCATGTGCCCTTGATTGGAATCGAACCTGGGACCCTTCAGTCCTCAGGCTGATGCTCTATCCACTGAGCAAAACCAGCTAAGGCCACCTTTGTTTTTAATTTGCATGTGTGGGAAGTGCTTTCTCATGTTTACCAAGTTCTTGGCCTTTGCCCCACTTATTTCTTGTGATTCAAAAGAGCTTTTTTTATTTTTTTGCCGCCAAATTTTTGTTTTTATAAATTTTAATTTTTTAAATTGATCTTAGAGAAAGGGAAAGAGAAACATCAATTTGTTCCACTTATTTATGCATTCTTTGTTCCACTTATTTATTCCTGACCAGGGATCAAACAGTCTTTGGCATATAGGACAACCAGCTGACTACCAGGCCAGGCCTGTCTCCCATTTTTTTTTTTTTTTTTTAAATCCTCACTCGAGGATTTGTTTTACTTGTTTTAGAGAGAGAGGAGGGAAGAGGGAGGGAGAAATATCAATTAGTGGCCTCCCATACATGCCCCAACCAGGGATTGAACCCCAAACCTAGGTATATACCCTGACCAGCAATCAAAACCACCACCTTTTTGGTGAAAGGGAAAAGACTCCCAACTGAGTCATCTGGCCAGGCTTGTTTCCATATTTTTACTTTGACAAAAAGCAGTATCAGTTCTTTCAGGAACACTTCCAGCCTCCTTTTCTCCTTACCTAGTAGTTAAAATGTATTGAATACTTTTCCTGTCCCAGGCGCTGTTGTAAAAGGTTTACATGGATTTGTTTTTTTATAACAACCTTATCGTGGTGTTTTATTATCCCCACTTTACAGGGCAGGAAACAGGAACTGATTTTAATAAAGCAAATAAATATCTATAAGGTCTTTTCCCATGTCTTTTTTTCTCTTAATACCTTGGTAGCTTGATTGGCGTACCTCAGTTAATCAAAAGGCAGTGTGAAGACTGCATAATTATATCTGAGTTGTACAAGGTGGAAATTTTTGAAAAGAATTCCTTAAAGAACATGTTTCATCTTGGCTATGGCTTTTCATAGTGGTGGAGAGATTGTGTGTTGCTGCATTTTGTTCTTTAGTGGATCTCATTGTGATGTTTTATTTAGGATTTTCCCTTAGTGCAGCTCAGGAAATTCAAGCCACTCTATCTAAAATAAATGGTAGTTACCAGTTAACTTCTCTTTTATTTACAGACCACACTGCCCACGTTTCAGAGCCCAGAGTTTTCTGTTATAAGGCAGCATGAAGACTTTGTATGGCTACATGACACTCTTTCTGAAACTGCAGACTATGCTGGGCTTATTGTAAGTGCATTTTGGAAAATAAAATAATTACCGAAGCATGTTTCTTCTACCTTGCTGTTCATTCTATTTAAAGAGACTTTTACCCATTTTTCATCATGGATTGTGAAAGTCTGATTTCACCTGCCAACTAGAATATGTGCTAATCATTACTGTTAAAATCTAAAATATGAGAATAGTGTTGTAGCTATGAATGAATGGAAACATACAGTCTTATATTCTCAAATGTTGTAGTCTGCTTAAGGGATAAAGGAGGCAGTTCTTGTGTTCACCTCTTTAGAGTTAATGTATGGCTGCAGGAAGAGGCCTTCTGATTTTACAGGAGTGTGGTTTGTACTGTCAGGAAGACTGAAGAATCTGGCAAAATAATTAAAATTAGTACTGAAACTTATGTTTAAGAACGTTCTGTTCACTCAGTATTAGAATGTATTTGATTGTCCTCTGGAATTAAATTCTTTTTAAAGTCTATAGACTATTATCTTGATGTTTCCTCATCAGCTCTATTTTAGTACTGATTGTTAATGTTTAAATTTTAAACATAAACACTATTGTACCCTACCAATTGTTCATAATAGATAAACTGAACAAGTGAGTGCCCAGTTTTGGGGAGGACACTTTTAAACGGCCAAAACCAATAAGGTTAAAAGAAAGACAGGTTGACCACAGGACTGGTGGCCTGTGTACAGGCCCTAACTAGAGAATGTCACTGCTGGGACAAGAATGCTCACGAGTTACCTGCTCTGCTGCAGATTCCACCTGCTCCTACAAAGCCTGACTTTGATGGCCCTCGAGAGAAGATGCAGAAACTGGGGGAGGGCGAAGGGTCTATGACCAAAGAAGAATTTGCCAAGATGAAGCAAGAGTTGGAAGCGTAAGTGGATCTTCTTGATGGGACGAGTATAGTAGTTACTAGTGCTGTCCTTTAAAACTGCGTTTTTCAGAGTGTCGGGCATAGTCTGGAGCTTTAGACCTTGACTTCCTTGGGCCACAAGCACTGGTGAGAGTAGTTTTCCCCTATGTAGACCATACTTGTTATGGAATGCTGGTCTGGCATGGTGAAGTAAACCTTTGTGTTTTCATATATAATTTTTTCAAGCTGCTGATAGTGTACAGTTGTTCTCTGAAGTTTGATTACTGGAAACATAGTTGAAACTAGATTGCAGTGAGTGCTGTTACAGAGAAGCATTCTGAATGATAACCACATTGCAGGATCGGAAGAAGTTCACAGGAAGTTTATTTTTCTTTGATTGTAATTTAATTCAAACAAAAATAGTTTTTTAATTCTGTATCATAGTTGGAGATTTGCACTAAAGTTTCTTGTGAAACCATCCTTGGGCTTTATATTGACTACCTCCCCTCTTCTACCATCAGTGTATTGAACTTAGGTGCTCATTTCAGCACTTCCCATTAATGCTCTGCCCCAAGTCCATATTGTCTAGGGCCAGTGCTCCTAAACATCCAGGTCCTGAATTATTCATGCATTTCAGTGACTATCATGAGCATTGATGAGGGTAAAGCACTGAACACAGACTCAAGTTCCCCTTTGGGAAGTTTAGAGTGATCTTTAATGTCTAGATTGAGATAGATCCACTTGGTAATTTTTTGTGTATGTGATTTTGAGAGTATGTTTATTAAAGCTGGGGGACAGTGCTCTGGCAAGTGTGGTTCAGTCGGTAGGAGCATTGTCCTGTACACTAAAAAGTCACGGGTTCAGTTCTCGGTCAGGGCACATACCTGTCCCTTCCCCAAAAAACAAACAAACAAACAAACAAACCATGAAAATATCCTTGAGTGAGGATTTTTTTAAAAAGCTGGGGACAGCGAAACAGGGAGGGGCTTAGAAGAAACAACAGGAGAGAGCCAGAGCCTAGGTGGGGCTGCTCTGGCTCTAGAAATGTTATGGGAAAGAAATAAGCTTCTTTGGCTCACTGAGAAATAAGTCAGTGACAGAAGTGAGCCAAGGTGGGGCTGCTATTGGCTCACTGAAAAGTCAGAAGAGGGCCTTGGAGACAGGTTCAAGGGGTTAGCCTTGGACAAGCTGCTACTGCTAGTTGCTCCCCTGGTTGCAAGTCTCATGGACACCTTTATCTTAGTTTATTTTTTAGAGAGTGGAAACAGAGGGACAGGGAAAGAGACATCAATTGGTTGCCTCCCACAGGTGCCCTGGCTGGGGATCAAACCTGTAACCCTTTGGTGTGTGGGCTTACGCTCTAACCACTGAGTATACAAGCTAGGGCTCTCTGGGACCTTTAGATAGGAGAGATGCATGCCTTAGCGGGAAAGAAGGGTGGGAGTGTGTTGAGATGGGGAGAGTGCTGGGTCCTTTATCTTGGGCTTTTAAAGGCTGGGAGTTTAGGGGAGGATCTCAATAGTATATTCATCAGTTGTATTATGCTGATGCACCAAAATGAGATTTATTCCCTTAAACTTCATCTGTCCTTAGGTGTCGTATAATTTCTTATGATTCTGAGCCTTTTTAGTCTCTGTGCTGTCTATATAGCTGCCAAATTAAAGGTTTTTTTTGTGTGTGTGATTTTAAAGAAATCAATGTTCTGTTGGCTGCTAAATACCAGCAGTGTTTGCATGTAGATTTCAGGCTTTGTAGACTTGCTCCATCAACCCCAGTTATAATACCACTTTCCCTCTTTTGTTCATTCCATAGATTTCAAAATGGCAACTATCTTATTACTGAATTAGACATAAAGTTATATCAAAATGTTTAGGCCTTATTCAGATATTTTACTTAGTGGCATGAGCAGTAATTGGGTGGGGTAGTGCTTGCCAGTTGAGTGGTGCCAACTAAATGTCTTGTATGCTTCTCTTTTAGTGAATATCTTGCTGTCTTTAAGAAGACTGTATCCTCCCATGAAGTCTTTCTTCAGCGGCTTTCTTCTCACCCTGTTCTCAGTAAAGATCGCAACTTTCATGTTTTCCTGGAATACGATCAGGATGTAAGGCTTTTTTTTTTTTAAGATTTCATTTCCATGATCCAGGAAAATGTACAAGACTATTCTTTAAAGATATATCTGATGCCAGGCTGGTGTGGCTCTATGGTTGAGTGTCTACCCATCAACCAAGAGGTCACCAGTTGGATTCCCAATTGACACATGCCCAGATTGCAGGCTCCATCCCCAGTAGGGAGTGTGCAGGAGGTACCTGATCAATATTTCTCTCTCATTGATGTTTCTATCTCTCTGCTCCTCTCCCTCTTTATAAAATCAATAAAGACATATTTAAAACAAATAAGCTATAGACTTGTTAAAAATAAAACTACTTGATACATATTGTCCAAAATTGACTTTTAGTGTTCTGAATTTCTTTTTTTTTTTTTAAATATATTTTATTGATTTTCCACAGAGAAGAAGGGAGAGGGATAGAGAGCTAGAAACATGGATGAGAGAGATCGATCAGCTGCCTCCTGCACGCCCCACAGTGAGGATGTGCCCACAACCAAGATACATGCCCCCGACCGGAATCGAACCTGGGACCCTTCAGTCCGCAGGCCGACACTATCCACTGAGCCAAACCGGTTCGGCTGTTCTGAATTTCTTACCAACACAGTGGAAACCTTTAGTATATGCCAGTTCCTCTCCCTGGCAGATCAATTATGTAAGACATTTTTATAAAAGGCTAAAGATTATGACCTTTTTCCCCTTCTGAAGAATAGTTTTCTCTCTCAGTTAAGTTTGGGATTATTAGAAAGAACTTAAAATTGATCCAGATTTGTTTTTTTCTAGGCTACCCTTTTGTTGACAAAAGACTTGTGTATTTGTTTTTTTAATGTTTCTGTTAATATGTATGAAGCAAATCCCAACTTAGAAATTTCCTCAGTGTCTCCTAACCAGTGAAGTTTAATAAACATAGAACAAATTTTACCAAAAATTTAAAAGCCACTGGGATTTGGTGCCTGGCCAGTGGGTGCCTAGCTAACGTGGCTCAGTTGGTTGGAGTGTCATCCTGTACACAAAAGCAGCGGTCGCCCACCAGTGTTCCATGAGGTCCAAAAGGTTGGCGACCCCTGCACTAAAGGATCACAGTTCAACTCCCAGTGAGGACACATATCCAGTTGAGGGTTCTATCCCAGGTCAGGGTGCATGTGGGAGGCCACCGATTGATGTTTCTGTCTCTCCCTCTAAAATCAATAAAAAAGGTAAGGGGGAAAAAAATCCATCTTGTTTCCCAGATAGTTTTCAAAATATCTATTACATCATACTTTTAGAATTGTGACCTGGATTTAGGTTTAGCTATATATTCAATATCTTAGATCTGGTGGTTAAGATGGAATTTGTCTTAATGTCTTTATCTTATGCGTGTGCCTGTACTAGTAAACAGTCTTATTTGGAAAGTATTTAGGACTTACCCAGAAAAATATATTTACCATACACTTCCTTTGGCATTCTCTTTCTTCAGCTAAGTGTTAGGCGGAAAAATACCAAAGAGATGTTTGGTGGCTTTTTTAAAAGTGTGGTGAAAAGTGCTGATGAAGTCCTTTTTTCTGGAGTTAAGGTAAGTGGCTTTTTAGCTGTTTAAGAAAATTCCTGACTTTGCATAGATAGGTGACCTTTTATTTCTTTAGAAAAGATATTTGTGAAACATCTTCCAAAATATCCTGTTCTCTCCCTGGAGAAGGGATAAGAACCTTCTCACACTTAAGTCTTTATTTTCTCCTTTTTTTGTAAGGAAAGAAGTGAAATTATTTAAAAAAAGAGAATTAGCCACAAGGGCAGTCGTTCATGATGGTCTCCAGAACTACACAGCCCATTTTGGTAGCCCCAGACATTTGACATTTTTAATTTTATTTACATGCTGGATTCCAAGGACTTGATGTGAAGAAAAGAATGTATTATATCTCACTGATAGTTTTGTTGTAGATAATACTGAGTTAACTAAAATATTTAAAGTTAATTTCACCTGTGGCTACTAGAAAAATTTTAATGGCACTTATGGCTTACACATTTATACTATTAAGTACTATTCTAGAAAATCAAATTAATATACAAGTCTCTCATTAACCTCATAGGTGTGATTTATTCCTTTATTCCTCATCCCCCCTTTTAACTGTGTTACCTTAATAGCTACTATTTGGTATCTAACTTTGTCACTTGCGGGCTTGAGTAAGTAGCCTAGAATATAGGTGCTGAGTACCAGGGGCCTTGTTAGAAATTTGGAAGCTCTTTGGTGATCTCATTGGCACCGTTTAAGGTGTGTGGGACTTAATCTCTACCCACGTATTGCAGGGTGTTTAGTGTCCCTGGCTGGTGCCCACCAGATTCCAGTATTGCCTCTCAGTCTGAAAGCGACCAAATTCATCCCTCTACACACAGAGTATCTGAAGCTAGGTGGTAGCAAACCACTAAGCAGAACTATTGCTCTCGCAGAATTGCTAGATCTTAGGATACCAGAGTGTTACTGGGCTTTGTTAAATGGTTCTTCAAAATGGTTCTCTGTTGACATTTCCTGCCATCACTTGACTTTTGCTGGTCTTAAGTGTGAAATGGTATTTTATCAATTTGTATTTCCCTGGTCTGTAGAGCTTAAGCTTATGTATGAGTTTATTTCCTTAATGTTTCTTCTAATTCAAAACACATATTCATATTTTTAAGTTTTGCTTCTTAAATTTTTCCCCCCCTCTCCTTTCAGGAGGTAGATGACTTCTTTGAGCAAGAGAAGAATTTCCTCATTAACTATTATAATAGGATCAAGGATTCATGTGCAAAAGCTGACAAAATGACCAGATCTCATAAAAGTAAATATCATTCACCCACTAGCCACCTACCTTTGCTCATGTGCCAGCTCTGTTCATATAAACAAGGCTATTCTTGTTTCTACAGATGTTGCAGATGACTATATCCACACTGCAGCCTGCCTGCATAGCCTGGCTTTAGAGGAACCCACAGTCATCAAAAAGTAAGTTTTTGTTGGAAAAGCTTTTCCCTACATTCTCTAATCCAAAACTAGTAGGTGGTATGATTGAAAGTATAGTGAGTAGTGACTACATAATTTCAGTTTTCTTGAGTACAAGCTTATCAAAGGTAGATAAGATAGTTTCTAGTAGCTAAAATCTTACACACTCTCTGAACACACAGACACTTTGTATCGGACTCAGAGGGCACTTCTGTACCAAACGTGATTATTGAGTCTGTATTACATGTCTCTACTACTTTTTGTTTTCTTTTTTTTGAAGTTTGCCTTGTATGTTCTGTTCCACATAGTTCTTGGCACTTTACTTGACAATATCTTGGAAAGAGATTTGATGGAAGTGGTCATAAGGATAATGTAATGATCCCAATCTGATCTTGAGTTTTTTTAAAATTTATATTTTTCAGTTTCTTTAGCCCGGCCATTTTTGGTGTGATACAGTATTCTATTTAATACCTAGGCTTAGTGTAACAGGCGGCAGTATTTCTGATTTGAAAGTGGAAGTCAGCTAATGGCAGAACCAAGATGAAATAGTTTATACTTAATGGCTTTGGGGCACACCTGATGGTTCATTAGAACCTGACCTTGGTTAACACAGATTTAGCATTAGATAAAAATTGGGGACACACCCTGGCCAGTGTGACTCAGATGTTTGGGGTGTCATCATGTACACCAAAAGGTGGCGGCTTCGATTCCTGGTCACAGCTAGATTGTGGGTTTGATCCCTGATTGGGGCTCCTGGGAGACAACCAATTTGATGTTTCTCAATCTCTCTCTCTCTCTCTCTCTCTCTCTCTCTCTCTCTCTGTCGCACGCACACACATAATATCAATAAAAAATACTGATAATTAAAATTGGAGCACAGGTTCTTCATGGCAATATGGCTGAAGGGGGGGTAGTGTACCAACAGGTTAATACCCATGATTGCGACACTATAAATGTGTTGAACTTTATAGTCATCTTCTCTACTAGAATGGGCCAAGTCTAGTGATGAAAACAATACTTTGATATGTTAATTCTAAAGCACCAAAGGCTAAGACTCCTGAGTTTACCCATTCCTGTATATATTTTAGGTACCTGTTGAAGGTTGCTGAGCTGTTTGAAAAACTTAGGGTAAGGATTTTTATTTTGGTTTTCATTATATATTTTATAATCTGTTGATATCTACTCTGATGATGATCTTTATTTATTCTAAAAGAAAGTAGAGAGTCGAGTCTCCTCAGATGAAGATTTAAAGCTGACAGAGCTCCTTCGATACTATATGCTCAACATAGAGGCTGCTAAGGTAAGTTCTTTACGTCTGCCTTGCCATGACTTTTAAGAGGTGTGATGTTAGAGAGGTATTTTTGTTAAAAATGAAGGAAGATAGGAATTTGTCAGGATTGTTTATGTAAGTGATGAGGATCTAAATAGAGATGTAAATTGAGGCAAGCTTGAGTTATCAGAAATTGAGTTTATTGAGGAATGGCAATTTGGAAAAGGCATGCAACAATAGTAAGCTACATGTGAGGGTGTGGAGCGGATTTATGGGCAAGGAGGGTACAAAGAGTGGGAAGTCCATCCAGAGTTCAAGCAGTAAGTTCATGGGTGGATGTTCATTGGTCAGGAGATTCTTCTGTAAATCAGGCATTTACAGGAAAGTAGCCTGTTTGTTCTTAAGTTCTGTTCTGCGGGCACATGCATGAGGTTCTTCATTTCATGTCTTTCAGTCTCATTTTAGATTGAAATTTTCCCACAGTTATGTATCTTTTTGTGGCATTGTATCCTTACCTTGTATTACTTGAGATCAATAGCAGTTGTACTTGAGAAGACAGATACATAAATAGTTTGGGGGTTACGAGTTATTTGATGCAGTGCATAACTGAAGACTTTCTGAAGGGGCTATTTCTGAGGCAGAAAAGGTTTTAGGATTTCTGAGTTTTATTGAATTGCAGTTGTCATTAAGCATTATTTATTAAAAAAGCAAGACTAATTGGGAGCAGAATGACCTTTTAGAGTGAAACATGCATTCTCCACTGTCTTCTATACAGCCCTGAACAAAAATGTTTAAGTCATTTTTGTGTGAAATAATGAATCAGACATAAGATTAGATAGGGAAAATATGTAACAGAAAAATGCTGTCAGGATGTAGAAATTCATTATTTTCCCCTTAGTTTAGTTTTATTTAAATAAATTTGTCATTTGGCATGTTTCTTTAGTCTTACATTTGGATTTTTTTTTTTTACACATTCTTGACTATCTTTATACGAATTTAAGTGCTGATGATAAACAAGTTTTTTTGCATATATACAAAGAGGGACATAATTGAATCTTAGATGTCATACATGCATACCTTTCCATTTTATTATAATTATTTTTTAATATATTTTTATTTCAGAGAGGAAGGGAGAAGGAGAGAGATAGAAAGATCAATGATGAGAGAGAATCATTGATTGGCTGCTTCCTGCATGCCCCGCAATGGGAATTGAGCCCGCAACCTAGGCATGTGCCCTTGACTGGAATCGAACCTGGGACCCTTCAGTCTGCAGGCTAATCCACTGAGCCAAACCGGCTAGGGCATAACTTCCCATTTTAGATACTAAGGTAACTTACTTTGCTGCAACATTGCAAAGAATATTTCAGATTAGGTCTTCAGGGTAGACTTCCAGAGGCAGGGTTCTCTGGATAGAGTTATAAGAATGTTCTAACTACCTCATTGCCCACTTTGCATTCTATCTGCATCATTTGACTCACCTTGCAGTAATTGCACATGCTCAATACACAGTGATTAATTTTCTGAAATTACTTTCCTAGAAAAAGAAATCCTTCAGTTTTCACTTTTTTTTCTTTTGACTCACATGAACAATTCGGAAAAAATTCTCTGTAATGCCATAAGAGTTCTTCCAAGACTGATCTTGGAATTAAAAAAATAATGGGGCGGGGGGTCATGAAGTAGACTAGATGTTGACATTTCAGGTAGTGCATTGGCACTAGAGTACTTGGGATATTTTACCATGTTTTTATCTGTTAATTTTCTTCTCAGGATCTCTTATACAGGCGTACCAAAGCCCTCATTGACTATGAGAACTCAAACAAAGCGTTGGATAAGGCCCGGTTAAAAAGCAAAGATGTCAAGTTGGCTGAGGCACACCAGCAAGAATGCTGCCAGAAATTTGAACAGCTTTCTGAATCTGCAAAAGAAGGTAGAGCAGGGCCACTCTTTACCTTTACCTTTTACTTGTAAACTAGAGGCCCAATGCATGAAATTCATGCAAGAGTAGGCCTTCCCCCAGCTGCTAGCACCAGCTTCCCTCTGGCACCCAGGACCCGGGCTTCTCTTGCAGCCCCAGCTTCCAGAAGGATGTCTGGTCTAATTAGCATATTAGGCTTTTGTTATTATAGATAGATTATTTCAACCTCACTGAGAGAAGTTGCACAAATAGTGCAAAGAACACCATACATACATCCTTTAGTTGTGGACACCTACCTGTCCACAGTTTGTTCTTTCTGTTTTCTAACTTGGCACACTTGCTCCCATGTGTGTGTTTTTATAACTGCACTAGAGGCCCAGTACACGAAATCACGTGAGTTCCAGACCCAGCGTTCTGCGGGACCCATCAGTGCACCTCCTGGTGACTGGTCTTTGGGCGTTATGGCGTTTTGGCCACAGGCCAAATATAGATTGGTGCTTTTGTTTTTTTCAACCATTTGAGTTTGTGGTTAAGTTTTATGTATTATGGTCTTTTTTTCCTAAAAAAATGTTTGTGCATTTTTTATTTTATTTTTAAAAAAATATATTTTATTGATTTTTTACAGAGAGGAAGGGAGAGGGATAGAGAGTTAGAAACATCGATGAGAGAGAAACATGGATCAGCTGCCTCCTGCACACTCCCTACTGGGGATGTGCCCGCAACCAAGGTACATGCCCTTGACCGGACTCAAACCTGGGACCCTTGAGTCCGCAGGCTGATGCTCTGTCCACTGAGCCAAACCGGTTAGGGCTGTTCATTTTTTAAAAAGATAATTTGCCTTTTTGAAGACCATAGTCTCTTATTAAAAATAGAATGCTTCTTTTAGGTTGGTTTATTTCCTCGTTAGATTCCAGTTATCTATTTCCAACAGAAAACTATATAAATAATGTGCTTCTTAGGGTATGGTATCTGAGGGTATTAATTTTTATTACCTAGACATGTGTTGTTATATTTCTTCACTGTATAGTTGATATTTTTTTTTCTATGCCACTAATTACTAATTCATGGGGAGACAATTTAAGACCATGCATATATCTTATTCATCAAACTTTCCCCCTAAAAGCTTATGTTGGTTCTTGCCTGAACCAGCCTCTACCCTTGTGGTTGTATGAGATTTGGGAGGTGATTTCCCCCTCCCTCCAATTCTAGCATTCCCTTTCCAAATTAGCACTTGACATCAATTTTTTTTTTTCATTGCTAAATTGACATCAATTTTTAAAGTATAAGCCTGCCCCTTTTCCCTATTTCTTCTTTAGATGGACTCCTATATTCTAAAATAATTTTGAATTTTATTATACTAGCTATTTTGGTACTCATTGTTCAGCCAGCCAGTGAGGAAGTGCTTTTAAGCTGACATGTTCTTATGACATACCCCCCCATTCTTTTTTTAAAATTTTATTGATTTCATAGAAGAAGGAAGAGGGAGAGATAGATAGAAACATGAATGATGAGAGCGAGTCATTGATTGGCTGCCTCCTGCATGTCCCCTAGTAGGGATCGAACTGTGACTTCCTGGTTTATAGGTCAACACTCTACCAATGAACCATGCTGGCTGCCCTCCCCCCGCCCCCCATTCTTTTGAACAGTTAGATGTTCTATGTTAATCCTACATCTTTTCGTCTCCAGGCCTGGAAACTGCCATTTCTTTCAGAAGCCCAAGCTCTTGTTACTTAAGGAATTAGTAACAAGATTGGGTGCTAAATATGCTCATTGATTCTGGAGAATCTCTGCTTCGGGGCCCTTGTACTGACAGCGAGGAAATAATAGGGATGTGTGCACACATGTGCACGTGCATTTGGCTTCTTTCTCCCCTCAAAATTCATAAATCCATGTTGATGATGTAGTTCCAGTCCATGTCCACAGGGCTTTTCTTGCCTTCCCCCATTTTTGCTTTGAGGGGAGATGGTGCACCATGTCGTCTTTTCCTTAAGGGATCTCACTGCCCTGTAGTTCTTAGGGGCCATGGAACATGCCAAACCAAAAAGTAATGTGTCTTTTAGAACAAACTTAATTATAGTGAGTCTATACTTGACACAACCTCAAAACATGTTCCTACCCCCCTCAAAACTCAGGTTCCTTTGAGAAATCCAAATCTCATTTAAAGACTTTGTTTTCTCAAAACTTTTTTCCTTTCCTGTGGTTTAAAAAATCTAGGCATATTTGGAAGTGTCCTGATAGTAGCTATCCATGAACAGTAGTACAATTCTCCTTTGTCTTGGCTCATACGTATTCAAGACTGTAATGCCTTAACTATAAGGAGCAGAACTTCTCTGTACAAAAACTGCAGATGGCATGCAGACACACAAGTAGCTGTCTTTTAAATTCTTTCAAAAGGAAGCTCCTTTAAAAAAAGTTTCATTGATTTTAGAGAGAGAAACAGCACTGATGGGAGAGGATCATCAAACCTCCTCCTTATTGCCCTATTCTTCTTGCCCATTTTAGCAGCTATTTTAAATTTATAAGGAACACACTTTAAAATGACTTGAGTTGAAATCTTAGGTTATTATATAGGCCAGTGATGGTGAACCTATGACACACGTGTCAGAGGTGACACATGAACTCATTTTTTTGGTTGATTTTTCTTTGTTAAATGGCATTTAAATATATAAAATATCAAAAATAGAAGTCTTTGTTTTACTATGGTTGCAAATATCAAAAAATTTCTGTATGTGACACGGCACCAGAGTTAAGTTAGGGTTTTTCAAAATGCTGACACGCCGAGCTCAAAAGGTTCGCCATCACTGATATAGGCCAAAGTTTAGTGGCTCTGAGAGTTTTAGAGAAGGGGATTAAAGAAAAAAAGTTTTTAAATGGTGCCAATTTAGGCCTGTCCTTATTACCTAAGGTTGTTCCTGTGTTACAGATTTTATCCTCTTTATTCAAATTACTAGTGGCCTGGTGCACGAAATTTGTGCGGGGGTGGGGGGGGGGTGGGGGGGGGTTCCCCTCAGCCCAGCCTGCACCCTCTCCAATCACACCCTGTGGAATTGGGCCTAAACCAGTGGTCATACATCCTTCTCGCAATCTAGGATCGCTGGCTTCTAACCACTCACCTGCCTGATTGCCCCTAACTGCCTCTGCCTGCCTGCCTGATCTCGCCCCCAACTGTCCTCCCCTGCCATCCTGGTTGCCCCCAACGGCCCTCCCCTGCTGGCCTGATAGCCCCTAATGGCCTCTGCCTTGTCCCCCACCACCATGGCTTTGTCCGGAAGGAAGTCGGATGTCCAGAAGATGGCAGATAGACCCGGTCTAATTAGCATATTACCCTTTTAGTATTATAGGTAGATTATATAGGATAGGATTGCTTTAAAAGGGGGAAAGCCTTTAAAACCCTCAGCCCCCACTGCCTTTGCAATTCACTCAGATTTGGTTCTGGTTGTTCGGTTTCTATGCCAGTCAGCATCTCCAGGCATATCAACGGGCCTGATCAGAGAGGCGGAGCTGATTAGCAGCCCCAGCAGAGGCCTGAGAAAGAGGCTGCATGGCTGCTGGCCAGGCCTCGAGAGAAAGAGAGGCAAGGGCTGATCAACAGCTGCCACAGAGGCCTCTCTTTAGGCCTCTCTCTGGGCCTGATCCGCATTCCGCTCGGCAGTCAGTGCTGGGTTGCAGCAACCCAAGCAGCGCAGTCAGTACTGGGTCACCACGGCAACCCAGCACTGACTGCAGGACTGACTTCCAGTTGGTCGAGCCTTCAGTCATTTTGGCTGTTACTGACCCTTGATTTTTATATATTAGGATAAGCCTGGATGTATGATATTTAAAAGTACCATATTACCATTCAGAGATTAACGGGTCTTAACTTTGGTCCCAGTTCTTTGTAAGATTTGTGGCTGAACAGATTTGAGTTAGTTGAATGAGCATAGAGAAACAATGGTGTGGGGAGACAGAAGGGTTAGTGTGTAGAGTCTTGGTCCTGGGGAGCTTATCTTGACATCTGGGAAGACCCATTTAGCCAAGATGTGGCTATTAACACATCAGTATAAAAATTTTGTGTATGAGTTTTTAGTTTTTAATGTGGCTGCTTGCATTATATTTCCGTTGGACAGTGCTGTATAGACATGGTACGAGAGGATAAATTTGCTCCTAAGTACCCTACCGCACCAATTTGAGCAGGGAAGGGTTTTCAGAATTAAAAAAAAAATGTCCTTACGCCCTAACCGGTTTGGCTCAGTGGATAGAGCATCAGCCTGCGGACTCAAGGGTCCCAGGTTCGATTCTGGTCACGGGCATGTACCTTGGTTGCAGGCACATCCCCAGTGGGGAGTGTGCAGGAGGCAGCTGATCGATGTTTCTCTCTCATCGATGTTTCTAACTCTCTATCCCTCTCCCTTCCTACTCTGTAAAAAAATCAATAAAATATATTTTTTAAAATGTCCTTAAAAAAGCCATTGGTTCAAGTATGTGTGGCTCACCACCTCCCAACCCTCTGTCTACAAACTTTGGTTAAGGACAAAGCTACTCATCTCAGAGATTCTCCAATAGTCCTCTGAATTTTGATTCTTCAGTGATTGAGTGGTGTTGCTTATTTAAAGGTAATGGCAAGCATATTACAGTGTCCATAGAATGGGATGTGTACTAATTGCAGAGATAATAGAGATGTGAGAAAATATGGCAGTGCTTCAAAGCTTTGGAGATCATTTATTTGTAAGAATGATATTTGGAAGTTAAAGATGAAAATTGTTAACTTTTTTTGAAACTTTCTCTCTTGTAGAACTAAGCAATTTCAAACGAAAGAGAGTGGCAGCATTTAGAAAGAATTTAATTGAAATGTCTGAACTGGAAATAAAGCATGCTAGGGTAAGTATTCAGATTAAGCCAACAACTTTTTCGTTTTTGTTGTTGTTGTTTGTTTTTAATTATTTTCCAGTTATCCCAATATCATTAAGCAGGTGGGGTTTGCTTTGTGGCTTTAATCCCCTGTAGTGTAGGTGGGAGCCAGTTGTTACAGTATGTTTATTCTACTGCAAAACAAATTCATAATGTCTTGGTGAAACATTGCTTTTGAAAAGAGCATTCTTGATGGTGGCTACCCTGCCTCCTTCTCAAAGTTCTGTGTACCACACTTTGAAGAATCTGTTCTAATAATTTGTGAACACACCTATCATACCATTTTACAGCTCTTAATTATCTGGAGTTTTCATGGAAAACAATTTTTAAAATAAATTGTCATCTAGTTTTGCTAAATGTCTTCTGATACTCCTTTTTGGTTTAGAAAGGAAGAAAAATATATATTGATGTCTAGCTTAATTTGCACAGAAAAGTTGGAGAACAAAGGTTTTCAATGGTGGGTGCACATTAAACTTTACTAGGGAATTTTTAAGATTTTTTGCTGCCCAGGCCCATTCACTCAGACTTCTGGGTATGGTTTTCTTGGGAGGTTCCGGGGTACAGCTGAGATTGGCCCCCCAAAAGTGCTGTCTGGTCCAGGGCCCCTGGGTCAGCCCTTGGGGCAGTAGGGAATTGGAGGAGGGAATTGTCACTACAACATAGATGTGTTTATTCACTTGTTTATTCACTTGTCTATTAAGTCCAGGTCCTTTTAAATTGGAGTTTTAAAGTATCGTACATAAATTATACCTATAATGTTCTGGGTATTTTAAGTTTTCTGAATTCTTTAAAGTGAGAACTATGAGACAATTTGTGCGAAGTCCTATATAAATATTTATCATTTGTTATCTCATTTAAAATTCCACCCATAACTAATTTTTAGCAACTTTAAAAATATATATATATATATAATATATATTTTATTTAAAAATATTTTTAAAAAATATTTTTATTGATTTTAGAGAACAAGGGAGAGGGAGAGATAGAAGCATCAATGATGAGGGAGAATCATTGATCGGCTGCCCCCTGCATGCCCCCTAGTGGGGATCGAGCCCACAACCCAGGCGTGTGCTCTTGGCCAGAATCAAATCTGGGACCCTTTAGTCCACAGGCCTATGCTCTATCCACTGAGCCAAACCGGCTAGGGCTGCAACTTTTTATCTAGTCTTCTCAAGGCCTTTATCTTCAAAGAACAACTTATTTATGTAGTAGTTAGGTTAATTCACTTAAGCAGAATTGGCATGACTGCGTTTGGTGCAAACCTGGGGCTGGGATGGTGGAGGTGCTGGAACTGCATCCACTAGCTCTTTAGCTGTGATCAATCCCAGACCTAAGGGAGAGGATCTTACCAACATGAAATCGGGCGAGAAGGACTGTAGACTAATTCATTTGTGATTTTTTAATTTTTAAAAAAATTGATTTTAGAGAGAGGAAGGGACAGAAAAATTGATGTGAGAAAAATATCGATCAGTTACCTCCCACATGCACCCCAACTGGGAATTGAGCCCAGCACCTTTTGGTGTATAGGACTATGCTCCAACCGACTGAGCCACACCAACCAGGGCTGATTAAGTTGTGATTTAATGAAGTAAAACACCAACCAAGTTTGACTGGCTTTAAATCTTGTGAAAACCTAGGTCGGTGGGTTTGAGTTTAATTCTTACAGACGTGTAGGAAGTCTTGGATTCGATTGGCTCATTGGTCTACCTTGACTTGTTTTTCTTCCAGAACAATGTCTCCCTCTTACAGAGCTGCATTGACTTGTTCAAGAACAACTGATCTGCCTTTTCTCTGAATGAAGGATATGAATGTGAAAGCCAGCATCACTTGCACTTAAATCATTACCACAGAAGATTTATTACCTTTGACTTTACTTTAAAATTATGTTAATAAACATTTTGTTTTCTAAAAATCTTAACACTTAACCATGTTGGTTTAAAAATATTTCTGTTACTTGCTCCTTCAACATAACTGATCTTTTCTTTACGCAGTTAATAACTCAAAATGGGCAGAATCTAAAAGTGGGTTCTCTAATTTGTCTTTACTTATGAAGAAAGGGTGCAGGAAATATGTGCCTTCTGGAAACAAGTATAAGCAATTGCCTGGCACATGTAGTCTCACTATTTCATGTGCCCTTGTCCCTACAAACCAGTTATTTTAGGGTAGGTGCCAGTTACAACAAATAATTCAGCTATACTTGTCCTAGGTAACAAACATTCCATTCTTTAATTAGGTAACTTTCCCCCTTACTCAGTTCTTTAGTAGTCATGTTTGTGCTATAACCAGCAAGAATGCCTCATTTATCTTTCTGTACCCTTTGCAGCACCATTTTTGTAGTTGGGATATAAATATTTGAGAGAAATATCTTAAGGGTATAAAAATCAATTTGGTTTGCTTTAGAAAATGGCCAGATCATCTTGTTACGAAAGATGTGGGCGGTGGATGTTTGTGTTTGGACATTTTATAAAGTGTATAATAAAATAACAAACTATGATATATGGAGTGTTTTTGTGGAAAATAAAGCCCAAGATTGCAGTTGCAGCTCAGTCTTGGCAGTGGTGAGGGGCTTCCGTGTATGTCTAGTCCTCATGGCCTCCGTTCTAATCTTAATATCAACAGTTTTGAAGACTTAATGTGTCAGAAGGTCCCCAGATCTGGGTTTGCCTGCTTTTGGTTTGCAGTTTTGACAGGCTGTATATGATGCTGTGTCCTCAAAAAGGATATGCCTGTCTCATTGGTGGTGAATGAGCCCTAAAGGTGGTGCTTTCCAGGTTTTCTCTGATGTTTATTTTTTTGTTAATCCTCATCCTAGGGCATTTTCCAATTGATTTTTAAAGAGAGTGGGCAGGAGAGGGAGAGAGAAACATTGATGTGAGAAAGACACCAATTGGTTGCCTCCCACATGTGCCCTGACCAAAGCTGGGGATAGAGCCTGCAACTGCGGTATGTGCCCTTGACTGGAATCTATCCACTGAGCCAAATGGGCTAGGGCTCCTGGAGTTTTACCTCTTATCTGTCACTATTGGAAAGATACTTTGAGACAGTGTAAAAAATATCCACCCACCACTTTTAGCCTCTATTCTTCACTTTAATCAGTTGTAACTGGTTTGTAGGGTTTCAAAACATTGCTATTTGAATACCACAGGTAGCATTTTTTTCCCTAATGGTAAACTGCTTTGAAATCTTACCTCCCCAGCCAGTTGCTGAAATTTACTGAATGAGCTATACAGTAGCTCCTACTTTATTTACATATTTTTGGAAGCATGGTGCTGGAAATGAGTGGATTTAAATGGTGGTCTGGGTTCCTAACATTTCCGTCTTGCTTACCTGTCACCCCCCCCCCCCCCATACTATATAGTTGCACGAACATTATGTATGGTTGGACTGGGTAACTAGGTGGGTTGCAACTGGTCCAAGGAGCTCTGACTATTGGACCACCTTGCCTCAAGGCCTGATCGGCTTTGTTGCACCTTGTTCTAGGTGTGCTGTGTTCTGAGTCCTCTGCTTACTGCGTGGTCTAAACAGGCACCCCCCCTGAGTCAATTGCATCTGTAAGCTGCCACAATATTTCAGGTGTCCTTCAAATTATTTTAAGTAACTAGGTCTGACGGTCATTCATGAAATTTCATGTGGCTCTTGGTGAGGGAGGGATGTTTGTAGTCCTTTTCCTACTCATGCCAGTTAACAGCGATATATGTAGTCCTGTACTCTGTTCCTGAGAAACCATCAGAGGGGAGGCAGTGGGGGACTAGAAGCTGTGTTGTTCTACATGCCACCGAGCCTGTGGGGATTGTGGGGGGAAGATAAAAGGAAGGCAGCTTCCCTGTGGGCTTCAGCAGGAGGAAAGCCAAGCTGCTGGGCAACTTTGCAAGAGTGCAGGTGGGCTTGGGTAGAGCATTTTGAAATGTTTTCTCTAAAGCCAGTCGGTGAATATGGGCCATCTCAGAACGATATGGGAGCTTTTGTAGGGGTGTCTGTTTTAAACCTTAGAGTGCTGTTAAGTGGATTGCTTTGAGAGACTTGACAGCTCTCTTAGGAAAGGTGCATTGTAGCACAGAACCACAGTTAGTAGGTAAGGCATTTTACCTAAAGGAAGATAAGGGGATGCAAATCAGCAAGGATTGCCACCTCTGATCTGTAAAGCTTTGGTGGAAAGTGAAGGTTAGTGGTGGCAGCCATGCAGTGGGCCAGCATTTGCCTTGCCTACCTTTGAGGTTGTGAGGTTTGAGATAATGCCTAGACACAGCTCTCTTGAGTTGTGATTTCCATTTGGGAGCTATTTCTAGCAGACAAGTGCCTTGCACCATCAGCCTTCCACCTATAGGTGGCAGAGGCACCAAGGGAAGCTACAGGCACTCAGCTTGTGGAGCCTCTTCAGGAACAACGGAGAGGGTAAGCCTGGCATTCTTGCAGGGTTGCTCAAACGATCATCTCGTAACAGAAATGTCCTGGGATCTAAGATTCCAAGTGTTTTTTTCTGGATGGTGTCTTCCCATTCCAGCAGCGCTCTCCAGGATTCATGAGGGCCTCCGATGCTTGGTGACCCAAGATAACCTGTGTTGCTGAGGCTGCACCTTCTGTTCTGGGAACTTAACCTTTTCTGGCACTTAAATAGCTAGCTGCAAGGTCCTGGGGGTTCAGACCAGGGCCATGCAGCATGTCTGGAAGGAATGTGGGGAGGACCTTCCCAGCCCTGCCTGGGTGGGCAGAGCAAAGATTCCTCATTGTCATTTGGTTTGTTGTCATTCAAGGACATTTTAAAAAATCTTTATTTCTGACTCTAAAAGCAGTACATTTAAGGAGTTGAAACAATGCCGATTTATAAACTAGAAAATAAAAGTCCTACCACATTCCATAAAAATCAGTTATTAGAAAACTTTTAAAGGGAAAAAATAAAATCAGTTATTAAGTGTTTCTTTTTCCTATCCTTATGTGTAGTGTATTTTACAGAAAACTTCAGGACGCCAGAGTTGGGGGTGGTATCAATTTCTGGAGGTTCTTAGTTCTTGAGTGTCTCTCCTTCTGGAATGGTCTCCATGATCCAGGGGCTCGGACACTTCTGCACCTTGTTCTTCCACTGCCCATCCCACTGGAAAGGGCAGAAGACGAGGGAGGCGGGAGGCCCTCCCAGCCTTGTCTTCCCTTCAGCAAATCTGGCCACCTGCAAAGGTTTCATTAGTTTGAATGACTTACATAGTTCTTTTAGGAGGATTTTATTTACAATATACAAATTAAATCTACTACCAGATTGTAGATACAAAATAGTTAGCCATTTACATGCAATAAACATTAATATTTCAAGAAAAGATTTTAAACATTACCAAAACACTACTACCATAGTATATCACAAAAGTTGTAGGAAATAAAAATCTGCAAATAACTGGATTACTTCTAAAATATTTTTTCCCTCTGGCTCTTTTTGTTCATCAGTTTATGTTCTTTACATTCCACAAATGAGTGAGGTCGTGTGATACTTCTCTTTCTCTGAGTGACTCATTTAACATAATGCTCTCCAGCTCCATCCATGCTGTTGCGAATGGTAAGAGTTCCTTTTTTACAGCAGTATAGTATTCCATTGTGCAGATGTACCACAGCATTTTTATTTCTGATGGTTGCCTTTCAGCTCTAGCCCACAAGCATTAATTCATCTGGTACAACTCAGCTAACGGGGAGTTTGGGGTTCAGGGTGTAGGATTTCCACTGAACCTTGCTGCAAAGGTTACACAGTGTAAGTCTCGCCAGCTGCTTATGTTTCAAGAACTGTTTATTACTGGCCTTATTTTTTAACTGCCACATTGTAGATCCTTTCCTGTCATTTTGGTGTAGTTTGGAGATGGAATGGAGATCATATGTGTGTTCTTTGCCATGTTGCCTCCAAACCAAAGCACAGGAGGGGACTATTCATGCCTCAAAGATCAACCTAAGACAAGGCAAGATTCGTGAACAGCAAGTAAAAACAGTGCTGCTGGGGTATGAGGCTAGTACTAATTACTCTGGATTTGGGCCTGATACTCATGGTAATTTTGGGCCTAGTTGATGGAAGTCCCAACTCCCCGTTGCCCTGTCCTGCCAGAGTAAGGTTTCTGCAGAGCCGTTGAGCTGTTGAAACTTCAAGCTAGAATCAGCCTTTGAGACTCCAGTTGGTTACAGCTGTGGCTCCCAGGCCTCTCTGCTCCTGTTTTTATTTTATTTTTTAATGCTTTGATTTTTAAAAAAATGTTTCTATTGATTTTTAGAAAGAAAGGAGGGAGGGGGAGAGTTAAAAACATTGATGAAAGAGAAAATATTGATTGGCTGCTCCTGCATGCCATACTTATCTGGGGACCGAGCCCACAACCCAGGCATGTGCCCAGACTCAGAATCAAACCTTTGACCTCTTGGTGCATGGGATGATGCTCAACCAACAGCCACACCAGCCAGGTTCCTTGGAATTGATTGCATCATGAGCCCGCAGTTGTGCTAGGAGGTCGTGTGGGGAGGCAGGCAGCCTGCCCCGGCATGTATTTGGGGGCAGAAAAAGTGGCAGAATGAAGGGTACAGAAAAAGGACCCTTGGGATGAGAAGAGGAGGAGCCAGTGAGCAAATAGGTGATGCAGGAAGCCCCACTCCCTTTTGTGAAGCTGACCTGGGCCTGCTCAGCAAACGCCCTGACCCAGAAGAAATCCCAACTGGGTGTTCAAGAGGGAAACGGTCTGCTGGGAAGGCAGAGGCCTGGGGCTGAGCCCCCTGGGCTTTGGGAGGGGCGCTCTGTCTCCCAGGAGACACTGTCCGCAGGGCCTCTTACCATAGCTCATCAGGCTAATGAGAGCTCTGGCCTCTCCCACTCCACCTCTGTAATTTGCTCACTGCCTTTCCCCTCTAATTTTATTGCCACCTCAGCAGTTTCCCAAGACCTGGGGGCTCATTTTCAGTGGAAGTCCCCTCCCTGGGTTAATGAAAGGGGCTGCTTTCCTGCAGCTAGCCAGCTCTCCTGGGGGTGGGGAGGGAGAACAGCTTTGCAGAGCCCTACAAGGGGTGGGACAATCTGTTGGCAAATGTTTTAGAGTAGGAGGCAAACCCTTTTTTTCACCAAGTGCCACTCGGTACTTTTTCAGACACTTTTAGAAACTTCACAGTAAAGAGGCAGAGGACAGACCACAAGAGGAGGAGCGGGCAGGACACCTGGGTGCCCAATGTCCAGCTCGAGGTGGTAGCCTCTCCGGTGTCACTGCCTTGTGTGGAGTTAATGTCTCTGTTCAAGTTCCTCTGGCCTTGTTTCCCCATGGACTGTGGCTCCTGTAGGAAAGGCCATGTTTTGGAATCACCCAGGGCTTGCAGGTGCTGGCTCCTATCTCAGTCCATGGACAGATTCCTGAAGCTCACGCATTCCCACATTTGTAGAGTTGGCCGGGGAGGGGGAGTACCCTGAACACAAAAGGAGGGTGTAGTTGGTGATGCTTTCGCCCCCCTGCACTTAAGAGGCATTTGGAATAGCAGTCCCACCAAGATGAGAAC